CTCGTGTCCATAACCATTCTTGGAATAACCGCTACACACTCATTTATCTGAAAAACAATAATTCATGAGTTCATGTTCAATTTGAGAGATCAAATCCTGAGAATAAAGTAAGAAAAAGGTAACAAAAGAATAAAAGTATCAGAAGAAATCACACGAGAAATCACTAGCCACTGGGAATATGGCTCAAAGTTCTCTCTCAGACTATTCAGATATCAAAAGTTGGAAGACAACTACATAGAAATTGCCAAGAAAATTTCTTATTACTTCATAAGCAAAAGCACTTCACTATTGCAGAAACTTCTCAATCATAAAGTAAAAACACCATAAAGCATCACACGTACACATAAAATGCGACTGATAACACAATAAAAAAAAGTTCATTTTAAATTAATAACAGTTAGAAATATGTTCCTATCCAAAAGGTTGTGGTTTTCTAGTTGAAACAGGAGATTTCTCGACACTCGAGGCGGAGGGTCTCTCTATTACAATTTTCCTCAAACAGATCTGCGCAGTGATATTCCATCATTCAATGACTACAACGTTCCCTCAAAACCTCAATCACCAAACAAATTCCCATTTTTCCGCTGGAAGCGCGCGGAGCGCCATATATCCCAATGCGCAGCGCGGCGCGGCGCGGCATCAGTGGCACATGCACGACCTGCGCGGTACCCAACGTGACAACTCCTTTCACGCACTGACTTAGATTCGTACACTTCTAAACGTTCCAGACCGTAAAGTAAATAGTGATTTGAAACCACTTGTCAATTTCGGTTCAGTGACACGCAGCGCAATTCACAAGCCAAAGTGGCTGCGGCCATGGATGGATTAACCAATGGTGAAATTTTCAAACCGATGTGCAGCCTAGAATTAAGCAACGAACGATTAAATTACAAACATAGAAGTATGAAATGATGATTCAAGCGATAGAAATCTGAAGAATTAGGTCAACAAAGATACAAAATCACAGGTATTTTAATAAAATATGCAAAAGAAACCACAGAAAAAGGAAGATCTTGGTGAGCTATGAAGCCAATAAATATTCAAATACTTTAGTAAAAAAAAATTAGAAATTTCGCTAAACATTTTCCAAAGTTATCAGTGAAGACTTGCATAATAATTCCAAGCCAAACAACAAACGCTTAAGGTTTTTCTCGTCTTCCGCTGATAATCCGGCAACAGCGTAGTATAAGATCTACACTGTCAAGTAGGATATCGTCATTTCGTCTTCTTGTCATTCTTCTTCCATTTTCTGTCATCAACATAGTCGTCTTCTGCTTTCTTTTTTCCCGCATTTGCTTCTTCTCTAGTTGCATCAACTGCTCTGAAGAATATAAAATGCATGAAAATGACATACGTATGGCTTTCTGCACAGATGAAAACAAAGAGGAATATATTCTAGTGCATTGGCTTCTTGTTTAGTAACCATTCTCTTTACAGGTTTGAACGGAAAGCTGTGCTTCAGACCGACGATTAACCTTTGTCTGAGCTACCACGTTATTCTCCTTCCTCACCGCCGGTAATTTAGACTTGAAAGCTCCAAGAGGAGGCTTTGCAATAGTTTGATGTAAATACAATTGCTTGACAAGAAATTTCCTGGACTTTCTCGTTTTCATTAATTATTTCTGATGCATTTGAGTTTTTGTTTTTACTATTGTTTAACACGTTCTTGAGGCTATTTTGATATATAACACTTATATTTTCAAAAAGTCAGCCCTCTTTGACAGACCACTGACATGCGTGGCTCAAAAATGATTACCAGACTTATATTTTTGTTTTAAGGTAGAACTGCTCCGAGAGCAAAAACGACTGTTAATGCTGCACGAGTACCATTGTGTGCCAAAGTAGCGCTAGACCCAAACGACACTTGTGTAGCACTAACAATCGTTTTTGCTCTCGAGACCATTTCAACATGAAACAAATGTATAATAGATCCTTTCATTATTATTTGAGCCAACATGTCATGTGGTCTGGTAAAGGCTCTTGTACAGCCCGAGACATGTGTTTCGTCCTTACAGACTCATCAGCCGGCAGAACCCGTCGTCTGTCGATCTTTTCATAGTCAGTTCTCTCGGGAGCGTCACACTCCTTCTATATAGTTATCGACGACCTACGCTTTACACTCTTTGTCAGGTGAAACATTCACCTAACACAGAGTGTTTTCGCACTCGATTGCTAGCTGGCTGGTATTTTATCATAATATACCTTTCCTTCGAGTGCTTTTGTGCAATGTATAAGTTTATTTATCAAAACAACCGCAAGAAGCTGCACTAAACAACAGTAGAAACAAAAACTTAGATGTATGAAAATAATCAGTAAAAACGAAAAAGTCCAGAAAATTCCCTGTTTCTTTTCATAATACTACTACGGTTCATATTTTCAATTCTAATCAAACTGAACAAAGAAATAATTTCAAATGCAGCCACGCGATTTTTCAGATGAAAATCAATTTGAGAACACCATCCCATATGCTGGAAAAGCATAAGAAATGTAGAGCTCTCGG